CATACATCTCCCTTCCCATCTGGGCACGATCTGCACCCCAAGTTCTTTGGCCCTGTGATCACATGGTGATCAAGCATCTCTCCTTGTGTTCCTGTCTGCACAGCTGTGTCCAGACCAGAGACTCCGAGACACAAACCAAGAAGACATAGAACTGGTTTGTGGTCCAGTGGTCCAGTGGGCTGGCCAGGCATTTCAGAAGTCCTGGTAAAGATGTTCTCATCTGAAGAAGGCACCTCAAAAGGGCAGTGGGTGCTCCAGAATGCTCAGCTGATGTGTGGTCCAAGTACAGACGTAGGTGGAAGAAACAGTGACTCATGGGTCCTGACTGCCCATCTCCATCAGATGGAGCAGCATAAAGAAGCAAAGAGCATAAATTTCGGTTTTACTCAATTATTGAAAAAAAAAATAGCCAAATGAATGGAAACACATGAACTATGAGCCAAAGGCTGAGGGGCCCCCAGCTGGATCAGGCCCTCAGAATAGGTGAGACAGTTGATTGGCTTGATCTGTTTGGGAGGCAACTAGGCAGTGGGACCAAGTCCTGTGCTCATTGCATGAGTTGGCTGTTTGAAACCTGGAGCTTATGCAGGGACACTTGGCTCAGTCTGGGAGGAAGGGACTGGACCTGCCTGGACTGATTCTACCAGGTTGATCACAGTCCTCAGGGGAGGATTTGCCAAGGAGGAGGTGGGAATGGGGGGTGGACTGGGGGTAAGGGGAGGGAGTGGGAGGGGGGAGAATAGGGGAACCCATGCCTGATATGTAGAACTGAATGGTATTGTAAAATAAAATAAATAAAATTAAAAAAGAAAAAAAACAATAACAACACCCCCCCCCCAAAAAAAAGAAGAAGCAAAGAGCCCTCCTCCAATTATGCCTCCAGAGATCACTGGGGTTTGCGAGGCTATTATTCATGATATGGCGGCATCAGAGGAATACCTGAGCAGGGAATTGCTTCTCTCTGGCACCATGAATCAGTTGACTGGGTTTTACATGTCACTTTTTTCATTTTGTTTTCATAACAGATATGATTTCAAGCCAGCCAAGCTGATTAGGCAGTACCAGCCCCTGTGTACATGTGCACAGGGAAACCTTGGGACTGAACCCTCTCTAACTTGCTGATGGGAAAGGCTGTGGCCTGCAAAGGAAGGCAATGTTGTGGCAGATGAGGAATACACAGCAACTCCAGATGTCCTGGCTTGGGTCTTCTCCAGCTTCTAAGTTCTTGCTGTCACAATAACTGGGTTTGTGCTTTTGGCCAAACCTCAACAAAGTCCTTCTCCAGCCTGACACCTGCTCCTTAACTGTTGGCCACCTATGATCCTCTTTTTCTTTTCTTTTTATTCTTCTCTCATATATTATATCCTGACTGTAATTTCCCCTCCCTCTCCACCCCCTAAGTCTCTCCCTCTCATCTCTCCTCTCCTCCAGATCCAAACCTCCTCTGTTTTCCCTCAGAAAGAGCAGACCTCTCAGGAACATCAACCAAACACAGCATAATATGCTACAATAATTCCAGGTATGTCCCATCACATCAAGGCTGGATGAGGCAACCTAGTAAGGAGAAAAGTGTCCCATAAGTAGGCAAAAGAGTCAGTAACTGCCCCCTCTTCCACTGTTAGGAATCCCACAAGAACACCAAGCTGCTCAGCCATTACATATATTCAGGTGACCTAGGGCAGACCCCTACAGCAAGCCCCGATGAGTTCTGGTCAATTGATTCTGTGGGCCATGTTCTCATGGTGTCCCTGACTCCTCTGGTTCCTCCAATCCTTCCTCCCCTTCCTTTGCAGGACTCCTCAAGCTCTGCCTAATGTTTGGCTATGGGATTCTGCATTTGCTGCCATCAGTTGCTGGATGAAGTCTCTCTGGTCTCTTTGATGAAGATAGTTCTAGGCTCTGGTCCCAGAACACTCTGCAGGCAGGACAAGCTGTAGGTCTTGTGGGTCGAAGGTTCTGTGGCTGAGTTGGTGTCCTAAGCACTCCAGCTGAGGCCTTGCCTGAATATAGAAGATGGCCAGTTCAGACTCTTTGTCCTCCATTACTAGGAGTCTTTGCTAGGGTTACTCTAGTAGGTTCCATGGAGTTTCCATTGTACTAGGTTTCCATCTCATTCCTGAAATACCCAATTCCAGTTGTTTCTCCCAGTATTTTTGCCCCCACAACCCAGTTGACTCCTCCTGTTCCCACCCCCCACTCGCCCCCAATCCATCAACAAAATCTATTCTATTTCCCCTTACCTGGGAGATCTTTGCAACTCACCTTAAGACCTCCTTGTTACTTAGCCTCTCTGGGTCTGTGGATTATAACATGATTGTCTTTTTACTTTACAGCTAATAACCACCGACAAGTGTGCATATACCATAATGAATGTACTGGGTGGTTCTGTGTGTCAACTTGACACAAGCTAGAATCATCAGAGGAAGGAGCCTCAGATGAGGAAATGCCTCCTTGAGATCCAGCTGTAAGGCATTTTCTCATTTAGTGATCAATGGAGGAGGGCCCAGCCCATGAAGGGTGGTGCCATCCCTGTGCAGGTGATCCTGGGTTCTGTAAGAAAGCAGGCTGAGCAAGCCAGAGAAAACAAGTCAGTAAGCAGCTCCCCTCCATGGCCTCTGCATCAGCTCCTGCCTCCAGGTTCCTGTCCTGCTTGAATTCCTGTCCTGACTTCCTTCAGTGATGAACAGCAATGCTGAAGTGTAAGCCAACTAAACCCTTTCCTCCCCAACTTGCTCTTTGGTCATGGTGTTTCATCACAGCAATAGAAACCCTAACTAAGACAATGGGCATCCCTTCTTATTTTCCCTAAACCCCAGAACTGCAATCCAAAGTCCTGCTGTCAAGCACTACATGTGTCCTGCTTGATGACGCAAGTCCTCTGCAGCCACACTAGCACGCTACCCTTTGTCCCACCCATGTTGTAACCTTTAGCCTTGGCCACACCTCCCCGTGCTTATTTCTGTGCCTAATGGCTGGCATCATTCCAAGCGTGAGAATCAGTTGAGCTTCTCAGGACTCCAATTTTGTCTGTGGTTGCTACCTTCCAAGATCCTTTCTGCTCAACGCAGATGGATGCGAGGGAATGCTGAAGAAGGAAAATGTGAACCGGTGAGAAAGAGTCTAAGATATGACAATTAGGTCCCCTAACTCCCGATGGAAGCTTCAAGATGAAGCTTCTGTTCTGGCCCAACAGGTTCCTTGATTTCTGCATAGTCACTGGCTAAGTTAGCACCATAGACAAAGCAAGAGGCAACTCACTGAATAAGGGTATACTTTAAATGATCTGAATTTTGTCTTTGAATCTCTCTCTCTCTCTCTGTTTAGTCTTTTAATGTTTTAGTGTATTTGTTTATGGGGAGGCATGGCTGTCATAGTGTATGTGTAGAGGTCAAAGTTTAAGTTCTCTCCTTCCACCACAGAGGTCCAGGACTCAAACTTGGGTTCTCAGGCTTGGTAGTGAGTTCACCCCCTAAGTTGTCATGCCAGCCCTTGTCTTTGGAATATATTGAGAGTTAATAGGAAACCCTTGAGTTCTATGTCCTAGTTTTGGGATTCTTTGAGTTCAGAAAAATAACCCAGTCCTTCATTTTCTTGAAGATGGATACAAAACCACAAAGAACTATTTTTGGCATGTAATAGTTTTGATACAGAAATAATCATTTTCCCATTTGCTAACCAATGCAATAAACAAATATATAGCCCCTCTCCTCCCATTACTGCTTATTTAACATCACTATTCTGCTTAGGTAAAGAGAACACATCAGCTAGTTACTCATTCACAGAAAGAACAGAGAAAATTTTTTCCAGTAACTGTTTCTTTTTGGTGTCTATTTTAAGAGATTTGACGATGTGTAGGTCACAAGGTTAGTGCCCTAACATTTCAGAGAACAAGCATCTCAATAGAACACGGCTTGATCAATGCCACATCACGTAGAGGCTCCAAAATAAGCTGCACTCGTTCCCAGACAAAACCATTCTACACATGAATGTCACATCCACCTCCAAGAAAACAATATGCTTTACTCAAACTAAGCTGGAAAATGAAGTGAAAGGATTCCTTGCCATTTGCTAAGCAAAAGAAGACAGTTGCTTAAGAAAAACTCCAGGGAAGTAAAAGCCAAGCATTGTTTCACACACTCTCTCGTTTCCAAAATACCATTTAAAAATAATTACACCCACGATTTATGCACGATTCATTAGACAGCAAGATAAAATGCATTACTAAATTTTAATTGCACTGCAAGAGTAGACAGAATGAAAAATATCCCCTAACTTCTTGGGATTATAACCCAGTGCAGTAACATCTTCATCACGATATAAATCTTGTCCAAATAGTTTTAGAGTTACTAAATTATTTAAAAAATGTTTTAGCTTCATGATTTGATAAACCAAAGACATTCTTTAGTTAAGTATTTACAAGGTCAAGTAATCTGCTATCAATATTTGTTACTGATGAAAGTTAATAGGTTTGAGTGGTGGCTTCCCTAGTAATGATGGCAGGAATATCATAAACACATGCTCATCTCAAAAGAAAGTGGCTCCAAAGACTACAGCTGCCATCATTGCCTCTCCTATGCCAGACTAAGAACATACAATGTAATAACTCCCTGCTGTATGTAAGACGCAAATGTAAAGGATGGTACTGGCTTTACCAAGACCCTGGCAGGAACCTACCTCCCATGCAGTGTGCACATCCATACTCATGCAGAGTACAGGCTGAACCTGGGAGAGCACTACCGATGTATATCTTACATGGTATATGATAGATGTGACAAACACCCTAGAGGATGTAAACAGTAGGTGAAAGAGGCTGGAATAAGCCGCTGGAATCACACTCAGTGGTCTGGTGTGCCGCGGCTCCCCATCCATCCCTCTGGGTTTTAAATGGTACCTGTCACAAGGCCCACAAAACTTGCAGCTTCTGAAGGAAGGGTGACTCATGTGACAGATGCAGTGTATGGCTCTCAGTGCCAGCCTGGATCATTTGTTCCCGCACATACCTGTGGTTTTCAGTGGTGGTTTCTCTCCTAGCAACAGTTTTAACCTTTTGGCGTGGATTTTGCCTTGGTAATGTGAGTCGGCCACCACGGCTGAGGTAAAGGACATGTTACAGAGTGTACAGCACTTATTCTTATCCACCATGTCAGCGTCACTTCCCTGCATGGGGAAAAGGAGAAAGACAGTGTCACAGAGGAACTCTAGTCCCATGTCATGAGAGTCATCATTTCTGTGAGATCTGTCTGTTGCTGACCAGCTTATAGACATGCTTAGCTTTTGTTCTGCAATCCTTTTCTTCTTTGTTATAATCACCATCAACTCAGTAATGTACATTTATTTAGTGGCTACATGTGCAAGACACTGACTGGGCTTATAGGAAACTGCAGATATGAGTTACCTTAAGAAAAATGGAACCTACAATTAGGAAAAAGCACAATGTCTGGCTCTGTGAGGAAAGCAGTTGGTAATTGCACACATTATACTCATTAAAGTAAGGAAAATATCAGAGTTCACATGGCCTGAATTATTTAGCAGAAATTATCATTTGGCATTCAGCTCTGCCTTTACCAATTTTAGCCTCACCAGGATACATGGCTCCAATGTTCAAGCTGCTTTTATCAAAAAAAGTTTCTCTGAGGACTTGAACATTTTTCATACTTAATTTGCATATCTATCATAGAACTCTGATGACCACACTGCCTGAATTTTCTGGCAAGAATTTGTGTAATATTTTCCCCCTTTTCTTCAGAAAAGGTGATTGGCCAAATGCTTAGTCCAGCTTAATTTTTATGCTTTTGTAAGATTTAATGAAAGTGAATCGTGAATCAGAAAAAAAGCAACTCCTTTGTCGAAGCATGTGACATGGCCATTATGTGTGCAGGTCATCAATTACCTCTACTCTCCTAGAAGATTAATCCTCTGCCTCCCCTCCTGCCTCGCTGGAAATTGAGGGTACAGCGGGCTCTAAGATAAGGGCTCAAATCTGTTCCTTAGTGGATCTGCAATAGCAAGGCACCTCATTGTTAAAGAACAGCCTCAGAGGAGTCTCTAGCACACAATAGTCCCTTTTCGGAGACCCAGAAAACCCAGAAATGAAATTTAAAATTGGACGGGACAGGGAGGAAGGTAGGGACAGGATGGAGGGAAGCAGAGAATTATATAATTTTTTGCATAATAACAAAATGTCCATACTGCTAGAGAGAGTGTAGCCTCACACATATTATGTGGTAGTTAGAAAAGTAACTCCTTTCATAAGGCATCACTATGTGAGATCGCTGATTATTAGTTTTCGGTACTTGAAAGCGTGTGTGTGTGTGTGTGTGTGTGTGTGTGTGTGTGTGTGTGTGTGTGTGTGTGTGTATCTCCCAGGAGGCTGGCCTATACTTAAAAGGTAGAGACAACAATCTGAAATACTGAGATGCTGGCATTGGGGACAACAGTAAGTGTCAGGAAGTTGGAGCCACCAAGAAAAGGGCACAATTCCGCAAACCTCGCTCCTCTGGGGGGAGGGGGCATCCTGCCCTTGCTGAAGGCAAGCTATGGTACTTTGAGTTTTGCTTCCAGGTGAAAATAAAGGCACAAGGATGTTTACCATCCCCCAGTGGTTTACTATAAGGTAAAATGGACCAGGCAGTAGAGCAGGAGCATTAGCTCTCACTCATCTCTCCAACCAAGCCTAATGGGGGTAAAGAGTCCCTTGGAGAGGAACTGTCAGAATCTAGCTCCAGCCTGTTGAAGGGTTCTGGGTGGTGGGGGGCAGAGGAGAGAGGAATGAGGAAGCATTAGATAGAAATATAAACGGAGATGGAGAGAAAGACAGAGACACGGGATAGCTTCGGGAGGGCCCTGGGTCATTACCCAGTTGCCTTGAGATTTATCCTAATGGGCTTTTTATACACTACCATGAGGTGAGACAAAAGACCCCCCTTTTGAGATTAAAGCACAACGTACAGCCAAATACAGACTCTTCAAAACACCTGGTAACCATGCCCTTGGCCAAATCATCCTATTATGCAGTCCTGCTGGGCCAAGCAAGCCCAGACTTTATGACCTTGAGTAGGGCCTTACTAGGGAGCCTCTGTGGGCCCCCACAAAAAACAAGTCCAGAAGCACCAAGAAATGTCAAATCTCAGAGCAAGTGAAGAAGCACAATACACTCACTAAAGAGTGAGCAGCTGGGATGTATTGGGGTATAGAAAACAAAATGGTGACCTTCCTACTGTATGTTGGGCATATTAGTCCTATGCTGCTTTTTGTTAATTGGTTAAAAGTTTTGAGGTTATATAATTAAACATTTCTCTCTACCCTTCCATAATTCCAGAACCTCCCATGCACTCCTCCTTGCTCTCTTTCAAATGCATGGTATCTTTTATTATTGTAAATGCGTGCACACATGTACATGTAAATACATCTATATTCCTAAATACAACCTGCTCAGTTAGCATGTCACCTATGTGTGTATTTTTAGGGTATTAAGTATCCAATCGGTGTGTGCTTCCTTGGGGAAAACTATTCTTTCTACTCTCAGCATTCTTTTGTTGCCTGTATGTAGTTCTTTGTATGGGGTTGAGGTCACATGGTCTTTCCAAAGTCTACTTTGTCATGCCAATTGTTTATTTCCTTGCTCAGCCCATGTTTGGGAAGTCATACTTTAGGAAGACGTTATGGGCGTTGCTTCTGACATTACTAGGAAACAGAATCTCACAGCAAACTTTCTGATCCTCTGGCTCTTACACTCTTCCCACCTCCTCTTCTCAGTGTTCCCTGAGCCCTACCTAGGTGCAGGCGTGTTCTGTAGATGTATCCACTGGGCTCCATAACTACATTTTGTTTGCTTATAGCTTTCAATAATGCTCTCCCCCTGATGTTTCAAAGGGAAATTTCCTCAATGTGGGGGTAAAGACTACACTTATCTGTGGGTATAGGACAAATGTTTAGATTGTTATTAGAGATTATGCTGGTTTAGTAAAGGAGTGCTTGAGGGTTCTCCTTCAATATCCGTGACTTCACCAGCACTGATAGTTGGGTAGGTTTCTAATACCAGGCATGAATTTCCTTCCATTGAGCAAATCTTAAGTCCAATCAGAGAGCTGTTGGTTACAGCCAAGGAATGCATGCTACTACTGTACCCTTAGGGTCAGGCCATGCGGGTCATTGATGTGGTTTATAGGCATCAAAGCTGGTTAGGATTGTGGGTTGCCTTCCTCTTCTGGAAGCTTGAATGTCATCTTCTGGTACCATGAAAGCTAGTCCTTAGGGAGGAGGCATTCAAGTCAGTTCTAGCTCAGGATCTCTGGGCCCTGTTTCTGAAATGAATAGTATTTTCAGCAATAAGAATTGGCTTTCACCTCTTGGAAATAACCAAGGACGCATTAAGCTGAAAGTTTTGGTCAACAACATGAAAGAAGGCTTCTCTTGCCTGGTACTGAGAATTTTTTTAGGTGGTCTTTGGCTCTTAGAGAGAGCAATTTACAGGAGATAAAAAGGTTCATTAAAACCATCTATGCATATTAATACACATTATTAAATTTATGTTTTTAAGTAAATAGTTCATCATATGATTCCTTGTGGCTTTCCCAGAAACTCTTATTGTTATTTTACCCTCCTCCTTTCTTCTGTATTTACCTCCCAACTCTACCATAAGGAGCTCCCCATTTTTCATTGCCCCAATCAAATCACTTGTACCCCGCGAGTCCGTTTTACCCTGCTCCCTCCTTCTTCTCTATTTACTTTTGTCTCCCTTCTTATAGAGCCCCCTGCTTCCCAGTCCTCCAATCAGATCACTAAGACTCTGCTCTTCCCTTCTCTATTGCTCTCCAATGCCCCTATCCCGGCAATTATTCCATTGCACTTTCTTGGTTCTGTGGTTACTCCAGGCTATGTGTCTCCACATCTAAAGATTCAGAGCGAAGAACTACCGATAAAAGAGTACCTTTGGCATTTGTCTTTCTAGGTCTGGGTTACCCGACTCAACATGATCTTTTTCAGTTCCATCCACTGATTGGAAAATTTCATGATTTCATTTTTCTTTATAGCCGAAGAGTATTCCAGAGTGGATTTGTACATTTTCACTATCCATTTGTTAGTTGAAGGTTGTTTAGATTGTTTCCATTTTCTAGCAATTATGAGTACAGAAGCAATAAACCTGGATGAGCTTCCCCACTCCCGCTTCAGCATTTATTGTAAATTGTTTGGTGATGTTTGCCATCCTGACTTGAGTAAGTTGAAAACCCAAGTATGTATTGATTTACATTTCCTAATTACTAAATACAATGAACTTTTTTTTTTTTTGAGATATTTCTTAGCCAGTATTTTCTTCTTCTTATAAGAACTCTCTGTTCAGGCCCCAGCCCAGTTTTTGGACGGACCACTTAGCTTTTTGAGTCTTTGTCATGTTCTTTATATATTAGGGATATGAATCCTCTGTCAGATGTGTAACTGGAAAAGACTCTTCCATTCTGTGGACTTCCTCTTCGTCTGGTTGGTTGTTTCTTCAGCTGTGCAGAAGCTTTTTAGTTTCATGAGGTCCCACTTGTCAGCTGTTGGTCTTAATTCTTGAGCAAATGGAGTTGTATTCAGGAAGTCATTTCCTACACATGTAACATGTAGGTACTGCCTGTGTTTTCTTCGACAGTTTCAGTCTTTGCTTAGGTCTTTGAAGTTAGTTTTGGTGCAAGGAGATCAATACAGGTTTAATTTCCTCCTTCTGCATGTGGACATTAGTCTCCCCAGCACCGTTTCTTGAAGATACTTTCTTTTCTTCAATATATGTTCTTGGTATCTTTGTGAAATATTAAGTGGCTGAAATTAGATTTACCCTAGGTCTTTTTATTTTGTTTTGCTGGTCTACATGCCTGTTTTTTGTGTTAGCATAGCATTGTTTTTTTATTAATATGTCTCTGTAGTATATCATATGATCTGGGATTTTACTCAGGGTTGTTTTTATATTTGAGGTCTTTTGAAGCTTCATATCAATTTTAGTTCACTCTTTTATCTCTCCAAAGAATGAGATGAGGATTTTGATTAGGATTGTACTGAATCTGCAAATAGCTTTTGATAAAATGATCATTTTCACAATTTCAATTTTACTAATACATAAGTATGGGCTGTCTTTCCATTTCCTAGTGTCTTTATCTCTTTCATCAGAAGTTTAAAGTTGT